GGGAGAAAATTGAATTTCCAATTATCTAGGTAGATCCTGTTTTCCCTATGAAAATATCTAGAATAAAACTGTAATCTTATCTTAACTGGTTAAAATTTTTTATAAATTATAACCAACATTCATTGATCACCAAGTGAAAAGTCTTGTAACTAATTACCTGCCAGGGCTCAAGAAGTTAAGCTTTAATATTATCACTAATAACTTAAGGATCATGAATAATTATGCAAATGTATTTAATAAAAATAAACATTTTATAAAAGCCTAAAGAGAGCTCTTTACTGAAAAAGCCATTTTTAGAAGACTAAACATACTTTTTTTAAACAGAGTCAATTTTACAGTTCACTAAGTTGAATAAAGTTTTAATCATCCCATAAAAGGACTAGATGACTTGCATACTATGATTGTACATTAGGAAACTGACTTCTCTGGCCATTTGTTTCGGTGCTTTCAAGCTTTTACTAAAGTGTAAAACTTACATTTTGAACAATGCTTTATTGTATCAATATTATAAAAACTGTACTTCTGAATAACAAGAACCACAAATTTTTTACTATTAATGTAATTGAAGTAATATGAATATTTTAACATTCTCTCCTAATTTATTTGATCTTAAAGTTCAAATTGGAGCAATTTTTGACTACTAAACTGTCTGGGAAATTGAGATTTCCAAAGGGAATACTGTCAAATTTATAAAAACAAAAAGATCAGTATTCTAGTGATTCATTTTCAATATATTTTCTATATTGTTAATTATGTCTGAATTCAAAAGTATTTTCCAGTGTAAATTATACACAAGGCTTAACAAATAGAGACCTAAATCTGCAATCGCCTTTACTGAAACCAATGAAAAATCTATACACAGCAATGAAATTGGCATGCAAATAAAAGAACTGTCAAGACATGTAACCCTAAAAATAAGCCTACAATAACTATTTTAAAGGCTGTGTGTGGTCTTACCCATATATTTTGGCATGATGCACTCTCTCCAACCACAGCTAGATTCATCCAAAAGCAGTGGCACTGGAGAGCCTCTGTCTCACCTGTCAAAGTTGAAGAACGTTGTTCCAAAGACCACCATGAGTCCATGGAGAAAAGCCACAGTGCTACAGCTGGTATTGATAAGCAGTCTCTAAAGGAGAAAATACTTCAAACAATTAAGCAAATCATCCTTAATAGAGATCGAGACAGAGAGACAATATATTAATCTTTAAATGATGAGATGACAAATACCATGCCAGGTCTGACACAGTGGTAATTTATATATGGAATACTAAGAGGGGATCTTTCATAAGTAACACTAAGTTAACAGTCTCTTCTATTCTTCCTCTGATAAAATTTCTATACATTATTTATCAATTCAAAACTCTACTACGTTCCCTTACTTAAATCTTAAAAATCTCCCTTGTAAAGCCTCATAATTCATCAAATTATCAAGGTACTAAATTCATCAAAATTGCTATAGTCTGACAGCTAAGAGCACAGAGGATTAAGATTTATAAACAGAAACCCTAAGTATATTAAAATCTGACTTTTTTAGAAGATACCATAATATCTTTTTCAACCACATTATAAAAGCAGTTTACATTTTTGCTTTAGACTAACCCTCCCTACAGTAAAGCGTATGGATTGATCAGGTAAGCCACAGGTAGGTTGACATAAATAAAAAGACCAAGAAAAACAAATACTTTGAAAAGAAATATGCCTCAGTGGACAATCAAGCCCCACCTCAAACCTGGCAATAAAAGACAACTTAAAACAAAATGGAAAGAAATATACCTGGCTGGGTAAAAAGTTTAAATAATCATGATGAATGTATCATTAATTTAACTTATTTTTCCTACCAGATGACAATGTCCTCTAACTCTATTTAATGCTGCAACAATTCAATTAAAAAAGAAAAGAAGTGCCTTTTCCAGGAAAGTTAATATCCAAAAGGTTCTCATTATAAGACTGTTTTACCTACAACCAAGTCCCACAGCACAAAGTTACCACAGAGTTCCAATGTACTATGATGCCCCAGTTTAATTTACTATATTCTCTAAACACAAAGGTTCCAAAAAGATTAGTTTCACTTTTCCCTAGATATATTTAGTACATTAACTAGTATAGCTGGGATATTATTTTTCTTTGGTTTTGTCAGTAGCATGTTTGATATAAATTTTATTAAGTGGTAGTATATGTAACATTGCATTGTGGGTAGTAGTTTCCTGCTTTGGCCTAGCCACATCCTCAGCTGTCATATGAGCATGTTTCCCATATTTTCTGCAAGTTCTCGCCTTTTTTTTCTTCTTAGGAAAAATGACAGCACTAGAAGATGAATTGTTCTAATAATTATAAGAAACATGAGTTATTTATACAGCTACATTACACAAGTATGGGTCATTCTGCACTTCGAAGAACAAAACAGATCCCCATAATTAAAGTGCCAATGTCATGTGAAACAATATGTTAAAGTAAATTAACATGAAGGAAGGAATTAAAAACTGTTAAAAGGAAGAAAATCGCTGTAATCAGATGCTAATACCATCTAACAAACGAGGTGTACATGTAACAGGGCAGACATAACAGTGATTTGCCTTGAAAACTTAGGTGCTTCAAACCTGCCAGGTATTCATTAGTGAGAATTAATGTCAATATCCACTACTAGAATCTTAAGAATCTACTTTGAGACACTATAGAAATATCAAAACAGAGAAAGAGAAACTGTAAAAGCCTGGAGGAGGGAGTGAGGAAAGGAGGGAAGAAAAAAGAGGAAAAGAGAGGGGGAATGACAGGGAAAGAGGAAAGTTTAGTATTTTCTCTTTTGGCATCCCATTTCCACATAATCTCACATTTAGACAGACAGCTGCTAATTACTAACCAAATGAAGTTGTTCAAGCGATCATGGACATGGTAGTGCTTTGGGTTTTCACATAATTTAATTAAAACAAACTAAGAAGGAAAAAATAACAGAATACTCTCATTACAAAAAGTAACACAGAATAATACCCTGTACTTACACAACCACAGACGTGCATGCAGTTGTGTACGCGGACATCTTCCCCATTAAAATAAGGAAGTAAAACTAATCTCTCCTAATCATTATAATTTAAATTACTAATAAAATTATATTTAACTAATATAAAAAAATTTCAAATCATCATCAGTATAAGGCCCAATAAATGCTATGCCAGCTTAAATAGCTATATATCAAATCCAAAAAAAAAAAAGGTCAAAAAATAAACTGTCATATACCAAGTTGAAACAACAAATTAAGAAAGTGCCTTCCTAAAACCTCATTATCAGTAAGAAAATTTTAAGCCAAACTAGAATTTCTACAATTTATAAAATTCCTACATCAAATCATTTGGCCCTGTTGTTTTCAATTAAAACAAAAACAGAACAGCACCAAATAGAAGTTAAAACAATGAGAAAAACACACACATAGAAATAAGCACAATATTGATATTGATAAAACTACTGCATCTAAATAGGATCATTAGTTCAGAAAATAAAAAATAATTCAAAAGGTAACAATGAAGATATATGTAGTATTTAAAACACTATTACACTATTATATCATCTAAGAGCATACAATATAAAAAGTTTGCCCCAGGTCGACAGATTTAGTAAATACAAGGTAATAGGGAGCAAGATAACTAACGTCTTTACTTTTTGAAACTGACTTCAAGTTCAAAGGTGTATTTCACTTCCATGGCATAAAAGTATATAATTTATACAGCAGACCTAAACTTCTTACGTCAACATACCAAATACTAACATAATCCTCAAAAATGAAGTTTTGAGGGTCTTTGAAGAACAATAACAAAAAAACCCTGTGGCTTCCGTTTCTCATTTTAAGCATCGTATAAATCCATAATCAAGAGCTTTATTTGCAGTGACTTTTCTGAGTCAATCTCTCTTTATCACATGTGGTAAGTTATTTCTAATGAAACAAATTGTCAATTATAATATATGTACCAGTTATCACTGTTGTTTTTAAATTTTTACCACAAAGTAATACTTGGTCCAAAGTGTATATATTTTCAATTTAGAAAAAAATGTATGGATAATGATTATACAAACTTTAAAGTACATGACTTCACTATCTTTCTCCTGCCAGAATTTGATGGGCCTCACACAAAACAGAAAGAGCATATTCAACAATGTCTATTAAACTCATGCAATAACAGTGATTACCCCCCCAAAAAATTTATGTACAGGAGGGTTACCTGCACAAAAGAGAAAAAGCAGATAATAGATGCATAGGTGTTAAAAATTATCCAAATGCTTACAAAGTCAGTATGTAGGGCCAAAGTGCACATAATTTTAAAAAAATTAAGGGAGAAAACATTTAGCTAATAGCTGGGCTTGTAGGACATTAGAGAATGCTTATACAGACACTAAAAACTCATCTAGAGGAAGAAAAGCATTTATTTACCATACTACAGCCGCTACCTAAATTTTTTCAATTGCCTGATTCTGCTGCTATTGTATGTGCATATGGAACTATGTTTGGAAATTCCACAAATTATATAGACAAAGCCCTCTTTTAGCCCTCCTATACATCATAACAGTACACCTTATTTATTAAAAATAACTTTTCTCTTTTGTATGAATAATTACATGTTAAATGAAAGCTCTTACTTTTCAATGTAAAATGTTTACATACATAATGAGGAATAAATTTATATTTAAAATGAAACACTAAAATGCATTTCTGGTGTTTTATCACTAAAAGTTTGTTATGGGAAAGTTCTGGACGTTTGAATAATAAAGGATTAAAATCATTCCCATGTCCTCCCTGTGCATTTTGGGCAAATCAAATTTTTTGTGAAGAAACTTATGAACATGTCTGTACATTTATCTTTATCTAATATAAACCAAAAGCGGATAATGAACTGTGCTGGGAAGTCCATAGGCAAGGATATTTTGGCTCTAACACCCTCCTTAGTGTTTCCCAGCCCTTACCCCATTATCTACCCCAAATAATGTTTGTAATTCGCTGTCTCCGCCCACCCTCCCAGTCATTTACTTCACGCCACTCCTAGTTACTATCACACTAGGAAGAAGTCTAACATGCAAATTCAGAGTGGCTGATAAATGGGAAAAAATGCCTAGAAAATTGGTCTGTTCGGCTTTATAATTTTTGTTGAAAAATACTCCATCGTTCCCAACTGATGAAAACAGGAAGCTCTATTCATAAATATGAAATTCTCTGCCTATGATATATAATCATCCTAATAAGAAAATGAGTTCTATACATACATGTCCAAAGGGGCAAAAAAGGAGATAGTTTCCCAAAGATGTTTCCAATTTTCTTCTGAATCAGAATTAGCAAATCGAGACGACTAACATACTCTGTCTGTGTGCATTATTTCTTGCTACACACAGCATTTTGCAATTTATTTCAAAGCTTTCATTATAAACAAAAAATACAGCTTCTGTTAACCCACTCTATCCTGAGCTTATAAAATCTAATGCTGAACAACCTAAGTTATAACATAAGAAGTTTACTTTATACATGTATAAGATTTGCTATCAAAGGCTCTGTTAAAGTTAAACTCCAAATAAACTACTTAAAGAATTATACAAAATGAATACAATTCCTTGACAAATAAAAATCATTACAAGCATAAAGAAAACTAAAATTCCGCCAATAATATGTTACAATTCTTGTCATTCATTTTTATAAATCCTCAAACTAGTCATAAAAGAAAGGTATATGTAATATAAACGATACGAATTGCATTTAATCCTTACTGTAGGAGCCGGCATCTAATATTGATCATACATAAACTAGACAGACATGATTTAACATTTGTAAAAGGAATCCCCAGACTAACACTTTCATGACAGCCAATTACAGTCAAGCCCAGCAAGCAGTTTGCAACCAGACCTTAAGAAAGGTAAACTTTTTTACAATGAGTTACAGATTCACAAGTTTAAGAAGACAGGAAAAAGAAAAACAGAAGGACTCCAATCACCCAGCAAATATGAAGCAGACCCCAGAATGTGATACAATCCAAAGATGTAAATTATTGTAAATCATCACTGTTGTTCAGAATTTCACACAGCCTCTTGAGCCAATTTTGCTCACTTTTCCACAGACACAATAATGAACTAAATAAAAGGAGGAGGGGGAAAAAAGTAGGGGTGGGGGGGATAGAAAGGAAAGCCCTTAACTGCAGAATTCTGCTCTACAAATGCTTAACCTTACAGGAGTTTGGGCTCCTTCAGCATTTGTATTCTATCCAAATCCTCATGAGTCACAAAAATTAAATAGCTATATCCTTCTGGATGCCAGGAAGGGCCTTACCACAAGCCTTTTGTCAGAGAGAGAGAGAGAGAGAAAGAGAGAGCAAGAGCAAGGGGGGAAAGCCACAGTGGTAGGCAGTCCCACTTTACTTTGAGCACTGTGAGGTCACAAACCACATGATTCTGTCTCTCCAGTAATAGTGCTTGCAAAAAAAGGAGTTTTAAAGCTTTTGCTTTTTTGGATTGTGTGAATGCTTCATTCGCCTCACAAACAACCACAGAACCACAAGTGCGGTGCAAACTTTCTCCAGGAGGACAGCAAGAAGTCTCTGGTTTTTCAATGGTTAATCTCCGCAGGTCCCTACCAGCCACCGAGACCAACAGAGTCAGTGAGTGCCTCTAACCACAGCCTATGCAGTAACAGCAGGTCCTTCCAATATTTGCTCATTCTTTTTGTTTTGTTTCCTTGCTTTTCACATGTTACCAGCTACATAACTTCTTGACAGAAAAAAATAAATAGAAAGTCTATGTACTCCAGGCATACTGTAAAACTAAAACAAGGTTTGGGTATGGTTTGTATTTTCAGTTTAAGGCTGCAAGCAGAATTTACAACAGAGGGTACAAGTTCTATCTGAAAAAAAAAGGAGGGACTATGGCATCAAACAGCCTCTTCAGCACAGTGACACCATGTCAGCAAAACTTCTTTTGGGGTAAGTGTTACCATATTTTAAATTCCTGTAAGAGATGAACCTGTTAAACATTAAGGTATGTTTCTTGGATAAACTAACTGCTAGCTTTTCCGGATAACATTATATTAATGATTATAATAATAATAATGCTATTTTGTTGCACTAAAAGTTGAAAAATGAAATTGCTGTACATATTTGCATTTGGCATCTGTAACTTATCTACTTCTCAGAGTAATTACCTGAAATAGAAAAAAATTATCTCACAGTATTAAAAACGTTTTTTAGAATTATAGAAATGAGGTAATTAAAACAATAAAAAAGTTTAATACTCTCATTAAGCCTCACTGAAATAAAATTAGACACTAAGTTAATCAAAGTATTATGAAGTATTCACTCCGGCAGCTCCCAAAATTTGAGCAAACTTCAAAAAGGAAGCAATTTTACAAAATAACAGACCACAGAATTATCTCGACATTATGCTCTCCCATGTAAAACAGAGAAATAAACCTGCAGTGCAGTTAGCATTTTAACTAGTTCGACTACAAGAAATCTATTTATAATTTTAAACTGCATCATATCATAAGCTATCTGTATAACTTTGTTTCTAAGTAACTTTTTATAACTGAAGCATATGTTCAACCAAAATAAAATTATGTTAAGTATGTAATAGCTATTTTTGAAAGACCTTTATAGTTAACCAGGATATTAAAAAGTTTACAGAAATCTTTAAAAGTTCCATGCAATTGTGCTTTTCTATATAATTTTGACTTTACATCTACACACTATTATCCATATGTCAAACTTGCTATAGAAACCGAGCAAACGCAACTAGGATTCTTTTAATCATATTCTTGGACCTGCCAAAATGAATACCGTTCAGTCTCATGAAAAAGAAAACTCCGTAAGGATACTCTGCATGATTTAAAAGAGCCATACCTACTAAATCATGCTGGACTTTTAAAGAAAAACAGCCACAATACAGTCCCTTAATATTTAATTTCAAGTTAGTGTTCATAAACAAAAATAAACTACTTCAACATTCATCAGCTGACACGGTATTATAGTAAAATATCTCAACACTTACAAGATTTTCTTTATGATGTCCAACATGTTCCGACTACAAAGCAAGTTTATAAAGTTTTCTTTTATCCTTTAAAATAAATCCTTTTGCTCTTTATACCTATATTAACTTTGCTTTATAACTTACAACTAACGATTGGAGTTTCCTTTACTCCTCCTACTTCACACATTTTAACTGGCTATCAGAGGATCAGTCTTAGTTTAGGTCAAAGAGAAATAAACCTGAAGGAGAGAAAAAGGTTTCTCTTTACAGGGTGAGGAAATGTACTTTGTATTTTACCCAAAAAATGTAAAATTGCTGTAGTGACTCCTTCAATAGCTGTAAGTGGGCCACCTCGGTTATAACACGTACAATATGACAATCACAGATTATTTTTTAATTTAATGGTAGTCAATAAGTGTTACTCTAAATTTTTCTGCATTAAAGGAGAACATAGATACAACTAGACTGCATTACAACCCATATCATAATTATAGCTCATACATGGTAACTTTTGCTGTTTCTATCCAAGAGATGAGAAAAAAACTGGCTAAAACTATTGTTATATGGAGGGATAACTTAAAACAGGCATCGCAAGCAGTTAAGTTAGTCTTTCACAGTATTACACTGTCTAAAAAAAATAAAATACATTTTTCTAACCAGATCGGAAACAACACAAGTTTCAAGGGCTATTTCATCATTACGAGTAAAGTTATTAATATTGTCACAAAGAATATGTTAAAATGCTCTTTATTCTACCATATGAGCGGTCTCACATTTCTGTGACACCCTTAACAATTTCTATAGTAAAATTTCTAAAACTTGACTGATTTCTAAAACAACAAGGCACTGCAGTGAGTGAACTAAATAAAGATTATCTTCTATTGAATGCCATATATTTTTAGACAATGTAACAATTCTTTTTCTGAAAAGTGGAATTTACCCTCTCCCACCCCAAAGAGTACTTTAGAGCCTGGACAGAGATTTAAGATGAACTCACTATACTGAACTAATTGCAGGTGAGTGGGGAGCGGACATTACGGACAGGTTATCATCACACTGCAAGCATTTCGCTAATCTATAATCCACTTGAAGTCGAAAGCCTCACTTCGGGCTTTAAATTCTTATATGATGATGAAAACAACCTAGTGAAATGTCAAAAGTATGTGCTCTAATTTTGTCAAATTGTTTTTAAAAGTTTAGGCTTTCCTAGGTGAGGGACAAAGCACACCCGGGCCCACTGCCTCAGCTCAGATATAATGAGTGAAAGCGTGTGAGAGACAGCCCCGCAGAGACAGAGAATGCATTTCAGTGTCCTTGTTCTCTCAGCATATCATTTATCTTGAATTAAACAAGAATTTTCAATTTGCACTACTCAAAATAAGCCCATTATTTACCATAAAGTCGGTTCAAAATGACAGATGTGACTCACAGAGTATATTAAAATTAAGAACTTACTTATGAAAATATATCAGTTAACTGATTAAAATTTCTACATAAAACCTTTGTAACTGACCATAGTGACTGATTGAAAATGATGTGTGAACACTGATTTCAAAAATAATAGTTGTGGTCCATACCAATAATGATAATTTTAGTTTCAAGATTTAATAGTGACAGTGTCACAACTTGCTTCTAAAATAATTCCAAAATCCAGGGAGAGAATTTAAAAAGTCAAGAACAAACAGAAGACCACTCCAACATACATTAAAAGCTAAAAATATCTATACAATTCCCAAGGACTCGTATTATAAATTATTTTAAATTATAAAAAAAATCCTACTTTTACATGAAAAGAATGTTCGATTTCACTTTTAAATTTTAGAACTATATTAAAATGTAAAATGTTTCAAAGAAATTGGATAAAAATATTTTGTTAGTCTATATGACCTTATAGTCTCTAAATCACAACGAAGGCATGAAATATATATGATTACATTATATTTTAGTTATTTTTTAAAAGGAAAAAAATTAATATATTCAATTACACCCTTCAAACTAATCACTGATAGTTTGACTTGTTTAAATCAGTCATGCTAAAGTTAAATTCAGTAAGATAGAAATGTTCCAGTTTGTTAAAACAACACTGAACTATTTGATGGTTAAATAAACTGCAGAGGGGGGGAAAGCTAACTCATTGAAGGCACTAAGATTTTATCAAACACACAGAATTAATCTTTATTGAATAGAACCATTCACAAATCAAAACTCACTGTACTTCAATACTTTCGACCAGCACTAATCAATTACAAACCTTTTCTAGTGCTTCAAAAATCATATGCTTTCAATTTTATACACTGGTGGTCCTCAAGTGCTGTATTGGGGCTGAGTTAAGACATTCTGTATCACAACTGTTTTTTTCAACAAATATTCATCTAGAGAGCTTTTTTTCCTCTCAAGAGCTGCTCACATGAAAACTGTGGTAATATTTTTATACTGTACTTCTTTGTTGAAGCAAAAGGTCAGGGGTTACCTAAATACCTCAACTGTATACACAAAAAAAAAGGAAAAGGTAAGTATTCATATAAAAAAATCCAATTGGGCTGAATTATTATTTATTTTTGCATTTCCTATGATTAATGATGCACCCGTGCCTACTTGAAAACTGATGGCAAAACAGGGTAGCATCTTGAATTCCTCTCCAAAGCATACAAATACCAGCCTCCCACGCTGTTCTAACCCTTGCCCCAGGATACTAAAACGTGACAGCTCTGAGTCAACAGAGAGGTCAGACCAAGGCTCCTCAAAAGCATTGAGGGTGCAAATGCTAATAGCTAAGAAAAGCCTTCAGAGATATTTTTACATAAAAGGTTCACTCGAACAGTCAGTCTCTTTAAAAATATTACACATATGGTTAAATAGACAAATACCTTCAATATGAAAAAATCCTTCCTTTGAATAATAAAACCGTAAATGTGACAAAGCATAACTATTTTTTTTCTAGTCATTTACCACGTAAGACCTTATTAAGTGGGTGCTAGCAAAACCAATGCTAATTTAGGCAGAAACTTCCCAATGTTACCTTAATGCACTACTTTTTTCTCCTAACAACTGAATCCCACCAAAATTCTACCAAAAAAACAATCATTAAACTCCCATAATAAGGATAACAATAAACTCCGATACTTAATATTTTCTAAAGAGTAAAATACTATAATTGTATCCAAAGTTTATGAAAAATCTTCATGAAATCTGCAATGTTTAATATTTTAAAATGAATCTTTAGAAAAGTCTCACATAACGAAAATACACACCTTAACACAAGCTATTGCCATGAAAATATTATGAAATTCATCGCACGTGTATTTTGATTAATGTGTTACAATTCAAAAAAAATAACGGGGAAATTCTATACCTTATTCAAAGGGAGCTTCCTTACAATTTTAATTACAGTTGACCATAAACTTTTGTCCATTCAACAGCAAACACACATAAAACAGGCCTTACATTCTCACGTAACTTTTTAAAGACCTCTATGGCAACTGAGATTAAGTCCTCTTTAATTACAATGAATATAATATGCTTATCTAATGTTGAACTTCCAGAAATTTCCTCCCCTGTATACTGTTTATTAAGGACACAGGACTCAAGGTTTGGAAAAGTGTTAGACAGATACAAGCAACACCACATTAATCATTTCACGTGGTTAGTGTTATTGTTGAACAGGATGTTAACTCTAAAGCATATTTCTTCATAAATACGCTTTCTTCTACTAATAAATAAAAAGCTTGTTATTTACCATAATGTATAAAACAATTCCCAAATAAGATGAGCTGTAGAATTAAGGGTCCTTTAAAAGCTAGTTGCTACATAAACATTTAATACTTGCAGTGAAAAAAAAGTCATTATTCATCCATTTCCTATAAATTCCCTATATTCTTGTTAATACTCATAAACACAATATCTAATATATAGTCTAGGACCAAAAATCATACCAAGTGTGATTTTGGCCATTAATAAAAAGAACATAAATGTTATGTGTCTCTTGATTAAATGATTTTCATTTCTTACATCAACTGCCCACAAAACAAGGAATTCTTCACCATATGGACATAGTAAGTGCATGAAATTTTTAATAATGTTAAAGATAATTTAAAATTATTATATTGTTGTCAGAAAATTTATAAAGTTAACAGTATTCTCACACATGTATTTAAGATTATTGTGGTATCTAGGTTAAAGACTGTTATCTGCACTATTTCTATGCCATTCTTTAAGAAATCAGACATAAGAGTTACAATAGAAAAGTGACATTTCTAACAAAGTACATCTAAATATCCTGTGCAAGACAAATAAGTTTTACGACAAAATCAAATAAATTTATTTTACTTTCAGTAAAACTGGCATTTTTTATACCAGTGGTGGTCTACTGAAATCATTATACCATCAACTATAAAAATATATTTACATAAAAGACTTAAAATTCAAAAATTAAAATACACATTTATAGGTTCCTCTAAAATTATATGAGCCATGACTCTGCCAAACCATTGTTTACATATTCCTTATAATCAGATATCTTATAACTAAGTCCATTTTGTGGTTCAGTAAAAGCGGAAGAAAAAAAAAGCAAATAAAGGAAAATTGTTAGCTAAATCACAATGACAAGCATCAGTAAGGTTTTAAAAACATATACAGTTATACACAATATTTCTTTGGAAAAAACTGAATAATGAGGCTGTAGAACTTTATATGGACATGGACATATTTTTATACAGAAACAAAATATTTGATACATAAATACAACTTTAATTTCTTACAACTATCAGTCAGCTCAAAATTTTAATACATAGTATATGCTTTTGCATATGCATATACATATGAACGCACACCCCTAAAGGACTACAGCACTTAGGATAATGATTGTAAATCAGGGGAAAAAACAACTGTAGCTCTTTTATGAACAATAATTACTTTTTGCATGTATACTAACACAGAAACGTCAATCTGTAAAACCAATAACAGAGATCAGGCATCTATTGAAAAATTCAAGATAAAAACAATAAAAAACTATGCCTATAAAACTTAAGACTATTTTCCAGTTATAAACTTAGTTAAAAACTGGTATCAGTTAAACAAATTATTACAGTTCACAAGAGCAAATCCGAATGTAATTAATTTGCTAACAGATACCTAATTATGGCCATTACCTCGAAAAACAACTCTGGCTTGGAGCTAAAAAGGTATTTTTTTTCTATATATTTACTCAATACCCATCTAACATGGGTAAATAATTTAAATTAGGCATTGTGATTTTTAATTTGGTTATTTTGTTTCATTAGTAATAAAAATTAATTTTATTTTTAAATTTCTCTACTGAACTTGCAATTTAAATTTCTAGGCTAAGTGAAAACATATCATTATTTCTACTAAATGATTAAAAATTACTTAAATGAATCTAAACAAAGCGAATTTATCGTGAAGCTGAAAAGAAAAAATAAAGTGCTACATTTTATAATTAATATTTTAACCTATATTTTGAAAATAAAGTGAATTCTTACTTTATTTCATATATTTATACCAGATTATAGAAATCTTCAAAATTAGAGAATCACAGAAAGAAAACGTCTTTATGCTAATAACCTACATTATATCAATCACGGAATTGTCTATAAAATGGATAACTATAAAAGTATATAGTTTCATACAAAGGACTATAACACCCAATTCAGAAACATTAAGACATTATAAGAAGATACCTACAAGAAAACTTCTGTCAGGACAGTAGCATCCTAAGATAATTGGTTTCAAAAGGCAATCTAGTGAGATTAAGTTTTACCTGTTATAAAATTGGCAAAGCTTTTAGGTAATTCAACTTTTGACAAAATGCAGAAAAAACCGTTACTGCTCTTACAAATATAGAGTTCAAAAACAAAATTTTAAAAGATAGTCCATAATGCAAATACTGCTTATAAACACAATTACTGTACATTAGTAAAGCAAAAGAAACATAAAGTCCGTGTAACCCAAACCTTTGATCATTAATCCAAACCTTTGATCATTAATCCAACCTTCTCTCTATAGTAGAAACTCCTCTTTTTCATATTATTAAAACTCCAGAAATCATAATGAATTCTTTACATTCTCCCAGTTGTTGAAACTAAACACATATTATGTGCTCCCTCCCTCTCCTCTCTTTCCCTCTCTCTCCTTCTCCCCGCTCCTCTCTCTAAATTTTAAGAGTAAAACTTAACATTTTCAAAACTTTGTACCACTAGTAGCCACCTTGTTATAAAAAAGTTATTATCTAAGATAGGAAGAATCAATATTGTCAAAAGTATATCATTCTTGATTTAGTAATAAGATTTCACAATATTTTTCCCTTACAATATGGATAAGCGTATTGCAGAATACCTCAGTGCACCAATAAGAACAGAGAAAACACATGAAGAGATTTTTTTCAAATTATCACTCATAAGCATCCAGGAAGAAAACTGAGTCATATGCTAATTATCAGGCTTATTTTTATAAATATTATTTTTTAAATATGATAAACCATAACATATCAAGACACACTTAAGTAACAATTTTTAAGAGAGCAAAACATTTGTCTTATATTGCTAAATTATTTAATTATTAAATGTGTTTACATATGGGAAAAAAGTTTTACTGAGACATGTTCAAACCATTTTCTTATCTATGAAATAAAATCATGTGCTACAACAAACAGCATAAACTATTCTGACTACAGTATTTATTTACCAAGTAGTTACACAGCACACGTACAAATGACGGGAGATTTCCTATCATAAAGCTACACTGCTGTCTGTAACTCACACTTTCCACTTTGATTTAAATCTTACTCAGCTGACTGCATTGTCAATTCACTGCTTTTCCAGGATCCAAAAACATCCAATATCCTCAATGCTATTTTAAGGAAACATTTAAGAAAAATTATATTATTATAAGCTGACAGAAAGACATTTTTTGAAAAGTAGCTGTGAAAATGATGTGATGTGAAAACTTGCATATGAACTTAAAACTTGCATACTCAAACATATGAAATAAACATGAAAACAGCAAACAAATGCATAACATAAAACTCTACTAGCAACAATACCCATACTAAGCAGTCAACCCTCAGCACAGGAGAAATACATTATGCTTTTTAAAATAAATGCTCAAATTAAAGTTTGTCTCTTGAACTGCTCAAATGAACACATAACATACTAGTGACTACAGAATTTTCTTCTAAACTGGCAAGACTAAAAGAATCACATCTAATTCCTAATTCTGCAATTATAATGTGTGATACTTTCTTTACTCATAAGACTATCATTTATTCTAAACTGGCTGGAAAGGTTTGCCCACTGCATTTTTCCTGTACGTACCTCTTCCTTATCAATTATGGTTTATCTTCAGCATTCAGAGGAAAAAAAAAAGCTTCAAAACTTTAACTGAGTTTAAAACACATCATTAAATCAATATACAAAGGGCTACTTTAAAAATATTCATTTTTAAAAGACCAGAAAAATCTTACTTTTTAAAGCTGATGCGTCTACACATAGAAAGCAACTTTTAGTAAGTTCTTTGCTACGCCATAATGATCTGCTCCAGAAACTCAAGGGTACCTAAAACAACGGGCTACCTGTTCTAGCCATGCTTAGGAATGTGTCCAAATCATTTTTATTGATTTAACCTTTATAGGAATGCTACATATCCTCAGAGCAAAACATTTTGAATGTATTTATAATATGATACACTTCTGAGAAACCATGAAAAAGAAAGCTAAAAACAAATCTAGATACTTCTTCACCCTTGGTTATTATGGGTTTATTTTTGTTTACTTTAAACACTATCAACAGACCTAAATATTAAATAATTCTATTTAGGAAAACTTACTTTGGCACCA